TATAAGTATCATAAATGGGGAACCTTTTATGTGTAAATACCGAGATTGTCTGTAGCCATATTCCAGCATATAAAATATTCTGCTCTTGGACGTTCAAGTTGAACGTGTTCCCTGTGATCCCTGCCGCCGCTTTTGTGTCGTACAAGTGGGCGTTGTCCAGAACCACATTCATGGGGAATTCATATTTTATGATGTTACATGCTTTAAAATATTATCAAACATTGATTATTGTCTCTGCCCAACTTATTCAATTTCCAACTGCACCCCCTAAGCCGACAATGTTCATTCAAACCATAACAAAGAATATCCAATTTCTGCACATCAAATGTCTAAACCAAAAGCCCGCTTCTGCAACTCCATGATTGAAATGATGAAAATGCTCCCAAATTGCCAATACCATTTCTTGTGTGCTAGCAGGGCCTTCGAAATGGCGGTGCCATGTATATAGCACATATGATTCATACTTCCTCTGTCCCAGATTAATTGTCGTCTATGATTTTTGGGCAGTATTTCTCCATCATGCTCGCACCTGTTTTGACTAAAATATTGCCTACGGTTGTCTTTTTGAGTTAGGAGTACACCATAAAACTTTCATGTTAATCCATTGAGTATTGGGTATTTGGCAGTACTTTGTATCAAGAGTCTTTTTACATAGTAAATCTCAATATTTGGGGTCGAAAATGACAAAAATTTACCTTCTCCTTGCGCTCAAAAGGGTCATGCCTCCCTTTTTCTTCTTGTAAATTGATAGTCTATGGTTTTGAGATGTGATCTTTTCGATTTTGATCTTGTTTTGAAAATCTGAGGCATTCCTTATAAATAATTTAGCCTTTTAAATAGACGACAATCAATCTGGGACGGAGGAAGTATATGGCACATGTGATTCATATATGACAGGCTTCTTATTTACGCCGTAGACACAGATCTTATTTACATTTTTACGCATAAGAGTAGTTGTTATTTTTTTACGAGTATAAACGAGTGAAAATGCGTAAATACAACGTAAATGCACCCCCTTCTATATAAAGACAGTACATACAGCCTTCGGGAGTCCGGGGAGTAGCAGCCAGACGCGCTGTAATGGGCAGAAAACAAACTTTTGTTCCACGCCGTCGTGGCCCTTACCGAGCACGAAGTCGACGCTGCGTTGCGGGTGCTGAAGGAGGCGCAGCACTGATCATTGTGCGCGATTTTTATCGTGTTACCTCGGTGTCACAACGAGTCATAAAAAAGTAAATACAGCAGCAAAAATACCCCCTTTTGCAAATTTAGGCTTTATGCGCAAAAACGTAAACGTAAAAACGTAAACGCAAGAACGTAAATGTAGAAACGTAAACGTAAACGTAAACAACAAGCATGATATATGATTCCCTGCGGCCCTGGCGCTGGTTAAAGCACTTGAGACTTGTGCTGGACAAGGAAGCAGGAGAAATCCTTTCAACTGAAATCCGCAGAAATATCTTGTGCATTGCGAGACTGCCAGCTGTGCAGTTCCATTCAATGCACTCATGTGAACCACGAACTTGTAGAAACAAACATGCTCGGCTGAATTGGACTAAAACTCAATGGAATGGTTTGCTCCCAGGTTTCGCTCAATGTGAATCTATGGGGACATTCTGAGCAACAGAATATGTAGAATGACCGTTGCCTAGTTGTCGCAGGCTTGCACATGTAAACAGGAACAAGAGGCACGAAAGGAATAGATTACTACGCCCAAAAAAAAAAAACAAATCAAATTGATTATAGCTGAAAAGGATCAATGTTTTGAGTGGTTGGAATCAGGTGTACCAATAATAATACCTTCGAAAAAGTAAAGGAACTTGGCCTATTTAACAGCCAAGCGCAGTAAAGCACGCCAACTTTCGCAAAGGAGATTCCCTATGCTATACAGCCAGCTGGCTGCAGCAGCATGTTGTTTGTTGTGATTGGGTCGCAAACTCCCCTGGACCTGCAGGCTCTCATTGGCGGCTTTGGCCATTTGCGATGCGGTGGCAATGGATGCGCACCAACCGGCAGTTGACAGGCTTCCACCAGCAGGCTCACAACACCGGCAAGCCGCGGCCACTTGGGCCCATGCATATGCCCAGTTATTCAGTTGCCGGCGCATGAGTGCTTGGAACAGTCACTCTGGGCACGGATGAAACTATAGCAACCTGAAGAATGCAATGAAACTGATACGTGCGCAACCTCCAGTCGGAATCCAAAAGCGCGGGCGGCTGGCGCAGTCCTGCCGACCCTGCCAGCGAAACTTTTGGCCTGCGCAGACGTTGACGACTATTCTCGGCCCAGCGCCGACGGCCAGCCGCCCGACGTCGGCAACAGGCTCAACCAATCCAGGCCCTGGAGTCGCCTATAATTGGAGGAATGGGGGATTGCACCCCCCACCCCCCCGTGCCGCGCATCAACGAATCTTCGTCACCACTCGCGTTGAACACGCCCTCCTTGTCCATAAGGACACGGCGCCCTTCCTTCGGTCGCACAAGAACAAGCCGCCACAGATTCTACCGTGCCGCACGTGTGCATGTGCACCTCGGCAGATGGGCATCGCCGCACTCCCGGCGGCTCGAGGGCGCCCGGCCGGCCCAACCGGCGACCTCACCCCAGGTTTCAGCGCCGCGCTATGTGAAACAGCATCTGCATGCGCTAGAGGCTGCCAACATCCAGCACATCACCACGCTCTTCCCACGGGGACATCGGCTTGGTGTCGGCGCCCCCCACTCCCGCCATTCCTTTGCAATCACTCGCCGCAGACCCCTGATGCTCGTCTTCCCACCCCTGCCTTCCACGTGCCCCCACAACCTCCGCCAACCGCCCACTGCCCTAGATTCCCAATGCAGAGCTCTCCCATCTACATGAGACATCCACATCTCCACATAGCCTCGCGCGCTGCCTTGGCGGGCCACGCCCAACGCACAACCCACCTTCAGCTGCAGGTGTCTGCAGACACTCCGCGCCCCTTCAAGCCTGCGTGAGGCCCTCCCGCTCAACATCTCCTCACCGCCCACTGTCCTGGAATCCCAAATACAATTCTCCCATCCCCATCAGACCTCCACATCACCACAGAGCCTCACACACTGCCCTGGCGGGCCTCGCAAACGACACAGCCCACCTCCGGACAGGCCGCGACCCTTCAAGCTTAGCCTGACGCCGTGCCCCACAGCTTCTGCCCACCAGTGTCCCAGAATCCCTGGCGCAGTTCTCCCATCCACCTCAGAACTTCGGCCGGGAGTCTGTGCGGACGCGGGGATCCTCAGAGCTGCAAAGCTTCACACGCTACCCAGAGGGGCCGCGCTCAACGCGCAACGGCGCCTCCAGCCATCCCGCCCCCCTTCAAGCCCAACGCGACGCCCTCAGCCCAACAAAGGCCCCACACCAACGGCCATTTGAATACCGTTCGTAACACTTCCGTCACCGCAGGCGGCGGGCGGGCCCGCGGGGCCCAAGGGGGCATGTGTAATGCCAGCGGGCAGACTGGGCGCCCCGGGGCGGTCCTGGGCAGGGACGGGGGCTCACGAGAGATCTCGGTCGATCCATCACAGATCGCGCCACGAGAGATCTGCATGGTCGACGCCCATCAGCGGAATCGGGGCCGATGACGGGCCCACGAGACGGGGGGGCCGTTTCGGATCGGAAGATTCGGATGTCGTGGGGGCGGGCGATGCTTAGTTACGGAGGGCGGGGCCTCGAAGGGGGAGGGAGCAGCGTGTGATGCATTTGGGGGGGGGGTCCTTTTCTGGCTGGTCGTTGACTGATTGAACGAGAGTCCACAACGTTGTGAAGTGGAATGTTGAGAAAGTAGTTGCATTGGCTTGAGCCGCAAGTGATTTCCGGTCTTCTCTAGAGTCTGCCACTCGTACAGACCGACATCACCGCAGTTTTCTGTTATTTTATCCTTTTGCTTGAAGCGTTCTCTTGTGTTTTGTCTTGGGTCGCACTGCGGCTGCCTTGGGCCCCGCGGAGCCGCAATGAGCACTAGGGGAGAAAACCTGCGTTGTGTTCAGTTTCGGCATTCGAGCGTCGGGACAGCCTCGAGCAGTCCGTGAGGAAAACATTCCGAGACGGCGCAAGGCATAAAGCGGGCAGTCGAATGCACGAAAGGAAAGCTGAATTGGACCAACGCCACAAACAGCACATCCCCACGTCACACCGCAACGAGCACTCCGTGGCCTTTGGAACAAACATGTCGTCGAGCTCTCGAAACCTTGGATACTGGATTGACGGCCAATTCCATCAAGAAACGCCCAACCTGGCCGGTTATACAACCTGGCCGGTTATACAACCTGGCCGGTTATATAATTTCAACATAGTTTTTGTAATACATTACATTTAATAGAAACAACACATAATTTCAACCACCCTTTCCAGCACAGTGCGCGGAACCCGTCCCACTGGGCCATTAGCTCTCCCCTGCCCCACCATCCTGGCCGCCAGCAGCGCTCCCCGACGCCCCCTTGCAGCCATGCCACATGCCAAAAAGAAGAAAGGCTTTTTCAAGTTGAAAGGCTTCAACTTCAGGGCAAGTGCCCCCCCTTTCTTTGCCGTTTTCCCGCATGGATGATGTCCCCAGTGGAATGAAACTAGTCGCCCTGTCTTTTCCGTGAAGACCCCTTCTTGTTTTGAACCCCGAAACCCTAAACCACCGACCCACTGACCGGCGTGGGCCTCCTCAGCGGAAGAAGGGATCCTCGCGGAAGGGAAGAAGAGGTCCTCACGAAGACAGAGGGACTACCACATTCTCGTCCCCAGCTCCGGGCGCAGAGCGCCACACCTCACACCGCGCCCATGACTCCCCCTCTACTAATCTCCCCCAACCCCCACCCCCCCACCGAGATCGCGGAACCGGGTGAAGGCGCCCGTCAGGCCCAGCCACGCGCCCCGCGGCCATCAAAGCCATTTCCGCGGCGGCTGAGGAGATTGACAGGTCCCGCGTCCGCTGCCCCGTCGCGGCCCTGCGCCCATCCGCCCGGTTCCGTCCAGTACGTATTAGCCCGCCTGGCCAAATGCGCCGTGGCGCGCGCTGCTGGCCGGGGGGTCTGGGGGCCAGGAGGGACCATGCCGGGAGGCGTGGCGTGGAGCCAGCAGGTTGGGAAGACCGCGAGGGGATTTCAGGAAAGCCCTCTCGGGCGCTGGGAGCCCGTCGCCGCGGCGCGGGCGGTTTTGGCGCCGGCGTCGAAGCGCGGCATGGGCGCGATGTGCCGCGACTGATTGTTCTGGCGCGGTGCGCGCAGGAGGACGAGAAGCTGAGGCTGCTGGTGGACGAGTACGGCGACAAGCGCTGGTCGCTGATCGCCGCCAAGCTCGGCACGAAGGAGAGCAAGCAGGTGGGGCGAAGGGGGGGGGATTTGGATTCGATCCCCTATGTGGGGGCGGGGGCGGGGGGAGGGGGCCGGGTCTGGGTGGCGTTGGGCTGGGGCCGCGGCCGTCCGGCGCGCTTACGCGGTTCGTGGGCTGTCCCGCAGTGCCGGCGGAGATGGAAGAATTGCCTGAGCCTGGAGGTGAAGAAGGGGTCGTGGAGCCATGAGGTGAGGGGGCGGCCGGGGTGCGCACGGGGCGGGCGACCTGACCCTCCATCTTCCGATTCTGACGCGAAGGGTAGGCGCGCCTTGGCGACGCCCCCTTTGGCGTGTCGGGCGGTTGGCAGCGGCCCAACAAAGCGCTTCGTCGCTTTGGACCTTTCGGCGCCACCGCCCGGTGGCATTGGGACCAACCCCCAGGGGTGGATTTCGTGTACGGCCGACCCAGCAAAACCGCGCACCCACCCGTCGCCATCCGCGGCATCAACCCCGCGCGGCCAGCCTTGCCTCGCCGCCATGGCGCCGACCATTCCCCTTACACGCGCCGATCCCTCGGCTTCCAACGTTACGTTGCCGTCACGTGCGCGATCCCGCCCGTTACGACAGGCCCCCATTCCCCATCCCCGCTCTGGAGCCGGAATTGATCGTCCCCCGGGCCCTGTCCCGCAGGAGGACTCCGCGCTGAAGACGCTGCACGAGGTGCATGGCAACCGATGGACCCTTATCGCGCGGCTGGTGGGCGGCCGCACCGACAACGCGGTGAAGAACCGCTGGGCGGCGCTCCTGCGGCGCAAGGCCACGGTGGGCAGGCGGCGAGGGCGGCCGTCCGCGCACGGGCGGCTGAGGGGCATGACGAAGGACGGCGCGCTCCTTCAGCAAGGACGTGAGTGTGCGGGCGGGGGTTGGGGTGTTTGGGGGGCGCCTTTGGCGGTTTGGGCATAGTCGTCATATTCCGTCAGGGGGTCTGTTGGGATTCTTGGGCGGGGCATGAGCCGCTGGGACGGCCGCTGGGGGATCCGGACTGGCCGCGGCGGGAGCCGGAGCTCGGCTTGGCGTTGATGCTCGAGGCGCCGTCGGGGCGTACGACATTAACCCGTCGCTTGGTCGGACGTCCGATCGCGGGGCGTCGACGCTGGCGTGGGGAGGGGATTTGGTTTTCTGCTCTGCCCGGGGCCGCCCCGGTGCTCGCGCCGCTGGGCTGATGGGTCGCCTGGTTGTGGTTTTGTTTGTCAGATCGGAGGAGGGGACGGCGGCCGAAGGCTGTGCTTGGTGCGCCCGGAGTGAAGGAAGAGCCCACGAGCCACGGCATGTCCGGACCCGTGGATGAGCAGGTGAGGCGATCTCCCGTTTGTCGACTCCTGGCCTACGTTGTCGAATCCGAAAGTGCGCTCGCCCGTGAAACGCCAAGGCAATGGCATCCGCGCACATGGCTCGCCAGTCCACTGGCAATTGACAATCATCAAAATGGCACACCGTCCACGGTTATGCATTGGCCTGAGGAGTATGTATCCGATTCCTGTCTCGGAAGGTAGTCCTGTGTTCGATCGGGGATCGTTTTGTGCGGCGTGATACTTTTCTTTGCAGCATTGGCGCCAGTGTTCAGTTCTGAGTGCCTGGTGGCTGGGTACTCCATGGCCACAGGACGGCTGGTCTGGATGGTGAACCTTCCACCACATTGCCATCTTCTGTGACAGGGGGGACATGCGCTTCTGTGTCAGGGTTTTGGCTGCATTCATCTGACATATGTGCTGGGCGTTCCCCACCCCCGCAGGTGCTCATCAATGTCCCCCACAGCGTGGCCAATTATGGGGACCAAGCACCGGAATTCGACTCTCTTGTGGACACCATGTTTGGGCCAACGAGTCTCCCTCTCACAGATGGTGAGTTTTGCCACAGCTTCAGTCATCTTGATTTCTCTGCTGCACTCAGAGACCAGTGTACTGTCCTCCATTTGCCAGGAACATGTGAAACATTTTCATCGATTGCTGCAGCTGTTGTTTGTGTAACTGGATACCTCAATGCCTCAGAGAAAACAGAGAAGTTCCTGCTCACCATCCATTGTCGAATAGAATCTCAGGCTGTTGTTCAGGATCATGTTTGTTTTGTGCCCCACGCTGTGACAAACTTTCGCCACAGCCATGTGGAATGGGAAGATCACTGGGAGAGGATGTGACTGGCTTCTCATCTGTGCCCTTCAGGTTTAACATGCTTCCCCACTGACTTTGCTCCAGTCGAGGTTCCAATCAGCAGCGGACATCCAGGGACGCCTGATGGCGACTGCGCGATGGAGGTGTCTATGCCCTTCAGCCCAGCCTTGGAGTGGTACTCACCAGAGCATTTCACCAGTGGCGATCGGGCCAGCCAGTTCTCAACTGTGCCTCTTGCCGCCTTGGAGGCAAGTCTGGATCCGCAGTCGCCAACGAGCCATGCGGCCAGGCTCGGGCTCATGCCTGACAAGCTGGGGGCCACCGGGGGAAAGTTGCCTCTCTTTTCGCAGATCGAGCTGGACATGCTTATCAAAGCACTGCGGATAGATTTCCTGCAGCAATAAAGGCGCCGGCCTGCCGGCGCCACAGTTGATGTATTTTTGGCTTTGAGGGGCACTGGGGAGGCATGGGGGCCAGAAAGATAGGGCCCTGGGGCCGATTTTTGATCCAGTGATGTCCTGTCACCGTGAGGGATTGAATTGGCGTTTCGGTTTGTGGAAACGTCTGGAAAAGGAGGTGGAGACTGGGCGATGGCTTGTGTGGGGGCAGGATGGTAAGGGATGCGGCATGGGGTGGAGTCAAACCTTCTTTTCCCAATTTGTACCTGTGTCAGAGGGGGGAGCAGGGGGAAGGGACTTGTTTGCAACGGGAAACCACGATCTCGTTGTCATAGGGCGATGGTCGCTGTCTTTTTGTGACAACAGCAAACACAAGAATTGTTGCCGGGTGTGGATGAACTTAGATTGATTTATAATGGGGCTTTCATCCAGACCTGATCTCAGTATACAAGAACGAGACGGACAGTGGTTGCGTGCCTGAAACGAGGTTGGCACCGAGGTGTTAGGCGGGGCTTCAAACGTGGCAGCACGCCAGAGGATGCCCTGTCAACGGGGCACGGTATCTGGCCTGCAGGTTGTGGAAGCTGGTGGGCAGAAGGGTTGGCTTTCTGTGCAGGATTGCATGTGCAGCAATAAACGCACAGGAGCGTTTGGATCCCCAAGCGTTTGGGATTCCCAGCAAGGCAGTTGCGTGGAGAGCGTGTGCTCTCCCCCGCGTCCAAATATCGTTGGGGCCTGTGGGATTAGTTCTCCAACACTACGGGGCCAAATGACTGTTGGCACTTAATTTTTAGTTGCTTTTTTTCCAGCAAATGGGGGCCGTGCAGATGCGGCATGTGCGAATGCAGTGCTGTGTGAGCCTGTCCAGAGATCAGGCGCGCCGGATGGCAGGCAAGGAAGTCTCGCAAGAAAATTGGCAGAGATGTCTCATGATAGGGCATTTGGTGCTGACGCCAGAGCGAAGCGACGTCTGACTGCCAGCTGTGAAAATCGGTGTGAAATTTTCGTCACCAAGTGCGGCCTGACTCACCTGTCGCTGCGCCCAGTCCGGCTCACTTGATCGATTCGGGCTGGCAGCCTCTGGACTGTGCGGGGCGTGGTGGGCGGCGAACACAGACAGTTGTTTTCTACTGGATAATTTCTTCTCCTGCACATGGACCTGCTCGCGTCAACCATTGGCTACTGGCCATAAACCAGGCAACGTGTGGGCGAATGGCCTGGGGGCCGGTGGGTTGCCATCAGATGACCATCAAAATCAGGAATGCGTCATCAACCCGCTGTTGCCGTGGATGTCGAACTGTACAATGTGGGTGCGGACTTTCTAGCTTCGGGACGCATTCTGGAGGGCCAGGCTACTTTTGCGGCTGGGGGGCGTGGCGGCCAGGCTGGTGCGGGGGGACGCATCACTGGCCTTAGGGAACTGTTTGAGAGAAGCCTTCGGACAATTTGAGGGGGATGTGTGGGGAGAGAATGGCCGTGTGCCATAGGAAGTATCTTTTTCCTCAAGGAACTGGATGCATGAATGCTCTTGTTGGATTCCATCTGATGTAATCTTACGCAACTGGACGGGGACCAAGTCGCTGGG